AAAATTTTAATTTTTATGGGAGTTCATCAGAGAAGGTATTTGTGGCTGGAGAAGGAAGCAGATACAACGACTGTTCACTGGAAAATACATCAAAATGACTAAATATAAGACTAATCGAGTCAGCATGCAAGCCAATAAGCAGAGCCGGAACGAGCTCGAGCTCCTGGTCATAGCTCAATAAAGCCCGCTCGGCCGATTTACACCCCAAAATTGAGGATTATATGAAGATTTACATACATACTACTTAATATATCTGTCGTTATGGATCTAACTTAAAATTTAATTCTTACATTTCTGCCACCTTACCTATGCACATGTACTTCTTTTAAAAAGTTAAAATAATTAAATATATTTATGTGATTTAAAGATTTGGGTGGCATAAATGTAAAAACTAAAAATTAAATGCTGGATATGAAATAATGGGTGCAATGACGAGGGTTTATGCGGGTTTTTATTTTCCTTTTTTTTTTCTCTCTCCGGGTGGTTTCTACTTATCATGGGCTCAATAAGTGGGCTACCATGAAGGAGTTTCTATGGGCCTCATGGGCTAGGAGTCGTATTTACGAGCTTTATTTCACTGAAAAATATAAATATATAATATGTTTTAAAAAAGTACAGTATAAATATTGGAAATTTTTTTAAAATTTAGTTTGAAATAATATTTATCCTGTCAAAAAAACAATGATGACAGCAGTGAGGCGAGCAATTGGGGGTATATATGTAAATATCGCATTTACTTTCTGAAATGAAAAAATAGGGGCTTTTACACACATACCACTGATTCCAATATATTTACATATCTGATCTGTACTTTACTATTTTACATTTAGACCCTCCAAATCCTTATGTCACATAAAAAATTCCACTATTTTAAGTTTCAAAAGTGAAATACACAATTACATGTACATATAAGAATATATATATATATGTATGTATGTATGTATATGTATGTATGTATGTATGTATGTATATGTATGTATGTATGTATGTATGTATGACACTTGTTTAATGTATTATAAAATAACTGAAATAAAGTATTATTTTTACTTATCTTTTCACTAAACTCCGTTTTAGCTTTCTTCTTCTCTCTTCTATTCATATTTTTTTCTTGGTATCAGAGCAGTTATCGTCTAATTGCACCATGGGTTCCTTCTCCTAAACATCTACACGAGCAAATTAGCAACCCGCGATATCCTTCAACAAGAGAAAGGAGATAAGCATACAACATTAAAATTTTTTGCCTCACATCAAGAATGTGACCAACAAATCTTTAACTCAAGAAAACTATTTTGTTTGGAAGGTACAAATCGCCAACCCCTTATAGCTAATGCTTTTGACTATTTTTAGACAACACCACTCTTATTCCCTCAAGAGTCATTCAAGATGTGTTAAAATCCATATAATATTCTATGGCAACTCATGGATACAAACCTTGCGGTTACAATTTTCTCCACCATTTATCCCTCAATTCTTTCACACATCCTTCATCTCAACAACACAATTGAAATTTGGTGAACATTGGAATAGCATTTTCAATCCTTAAACATATCAAGAGTCATTCAATTCAAGAATAAACTCCATAATATCATACTGAAAGCTAATACATATCTCACTAGTATAAAGAATCTGGTGGACAATATTGCAGCGACAGGTTTCAAGATAGAAAATGAAGATATCATTTAATATACTTTAATTGGCCTGCCACCAAGTTTTCAAGGTTTTAAGACAGGCATTCAAACACAACTAAACCAAATAAGCTTGGAAAACTTTTACTTTTTATTACAGAGTGAGGAATGTAACTTATCTAATGAAACAACCAAAATTACCCAACAAATAACAATATTCACATATAAAAGCAAAGAAAGGTCTCAACCTCAAATAAGCTTTAACAAGAAATTCACCAACAACAAGAATCAACCAAACAACAACATATCAAAACCAAGAACCACTATGATAAGTCAAATCTGTAACAAAAACGAACATTCAACCGCACAATATTGACACTAAACCAATCTCCAATAAAAAACAAAACCTCCCTTTCAAGTTACTGCTCTCATAACTCAACTTAATGCCCGACCACATGATTGAGTTCTTGATACTAGTAACACAGCTCATCTCACTCTGCACATGAACAATCTACCTTACACAGGCTCGGAGAAAGTAGAGGTCGGAAATGTCAAAACAATTGCATTACTTATGTTGGAAATGACATCCTTCCAACCACTAATCGTAAGCTCAAACTACTTTTTTCAGGCACCTAAATTCTCTTATAATCTCATTTATGTTAATAAGCTAACAAAAGATAAACATTTTCAAGTTATGTTTAGTGCTAATACCTTTCATATTCAAGATTTAGCAACCAAGGAAATCTTTCTCATTGGAAGAGTTGATCAATGACTCTACTAGATAACTGCATTCAACATTGACACTAGTTGTATTTGGCATCAATGACTGGGGCACCCACACAACAAAGTCATGTCTATGATCTCTCACACACATCTTCAACTCAAAATTCCTCCAACTACTTTTTCATGGTATGATTGCTATCAAAATAAAATCACATACTTTTTTTTGCTAGCAGTTGTACCACTTATAATGTGTTAGAAATGCTACATTAAGACACTTGTGAACCTTTTCGCCATCCTTCTATTGAAGGACACAAACATTATGTTACGTTTATTGATTTTTTTTCTTGCTTTTTTTGGTGCATACATTTACGACAAAAATCTTAAACAACCACATATTTGATTTTCTCTGTGCAAAATTAAAAAAAATAAATTTAGTGCAAATGTAAAATACTTGAAAACTGATGATTCGATGAAGAAGGTGAATATATTTCAAACATTCTTAAAAATCATTTACAATATTAAGGAATCAAGCATCAATTTAGCTTAGCTGCTCTCAAACATCTTGATCTGAAGTTCAAATATTTAGGCCTACAACATCTCATGACTGAAGACCAACATGCTGATATTTTCATAAAATCACTTCAGACAAACAACATCAAATCGTTACTAACAAGTTGACATCACAAACCTAGACCATCACCTTGAAGAGGGCTAATAGGAGATCTGTTCCTCTTTTCCAAGTTTATCTTTTACCTTAATTGATGGGTTGCTTTTGCTCCCCTCCTCCTCTCTCCTTACGATCGCTCGAGCAGGCCTGAGGAAGCTCCAAAGATTTAGTTCTTCGGCTGTTTTGAGGAAAAGAGTTTTTATATCATTTATAATGTATGCAAAATTTGTTTCATACCCTCACTATTTATGACAAGTTTGTCAAGTAAAATGACTATATATCTGGCTGTTGCTTACCGTATTATGAAATGACTAAAAAAAAGTATTGTTTTTACTCATCTTTTCTCGATGCACCATTTCTATTTCACTTTTAAAAGTTAGCAATAAACAAATGTTCATACTTTCGACGTATATGCATGCAAATATGAATGATTGTATTAAACATTTAAATTTATAAGAGTTATGTTATATGTAAATGACTCAAAAATCTATTGTTGTGTTGGTGGGAGATTAATCCAAGACTTTCACCATAACCTCCAAGCCCTTACCAATCTAATTCAATCATATTAACTGCTTACAACAACATTCTTTAATACATATAGCGATTAAAAATTGTAAAAGTATTGCAAATTTGATTGTGTATTAGAATAAAATAAAATTTTATTGCTCAAATTGCTCAATTATCAATTAGAAAGGTTTTTAAGGGCTTTTAAGGAAAAAAAAAACTTTTTGAATATTATGAGTTAAATTTGCTCATAATGAATTGTCTATCAAATACAATTATTTTAATATAAATATAATGTAATAACTTCAATATTTTACTTATGGGACACTTATATACATACCATACAATTCTTATATATTTACAATTCAAAGACATTAACATTCATATTTGCATGCATATCACTCAAATTTAACATCACATAAACAATACCACCACCATCCCCATCTTAAAGGTAAATTACATTTTTCTAGCATGGCTTTACAATACCATAGTGTTATATGCATAAATATCAAACATTGGGTGTTAGATACTTAAATACATCAACATTGCGCCGTATGTATGCAACTAAGACACATAGGCTTTTTTTATTTTTTTAAATCAATGCAATAAGTATTTATAAGACTAACAATTACAGCGGTTTAAAATCTGCTACAATAAAAAAAATAAGAGATTTTAAAAAAACTCTTTTTTATTAATTGTTAACTAAAAAAACATAAATAAATAATACAATGACATTATGCTTATTTAATATTAACTGTGTGCTTAGTAGATATTAAAATTTTGAGGGAATAAAACATTATACTTATAGATTGCACGTGTTTTTAATTGTTCATACTTATATGTATATCACATCAATAAATATTCCTATTGTAATTTTTAAAAAATAAAACATAACTTCTATACAGGATTAAGGCTGTAAAAAAAGCTCGTTGTTCGCGAACAACTCGTGTTCGACTCGCTCGTTAAGTAAACGAGTCGAACACGAACAACTATTTGTTCGCTCGTGTTCGGCTTGTTTTAGCTCAAAATAAAAAAAAATATAATTATTTATATAATAATATATTATACATATTATTTAGGTAATAATATATTATATATATTTATATATATGTTTAAATCGTAACTGCTATTGTAGTAATGTGGTCATGCGCCTTGTATTGCATATATTTAATCTAAGTTCGAATCCAGCGCTCTACATCTATTTTTTCAGTTTAATTTTAACGAGTCAATTTAGAGCCGAACATGAGCCGAACACGAACACGAAAATATAAATCGAGCCGAACACGAACACACTGTTCACGAGCCGGTTTTGAACACGAGCAATTCGAATGAGCCGAACACGAGCTCAAACTCGGCTCCTTTACAGCCCTATAAAGGATGAGGGTATATATGTATATAAATTGTGGGTTAAATGTTATAAATACATAAAAAATGAGGGTATATATGTAAATCTTCCAAATTATTTTTGAAAATGCATACCTTTAGAAAACTACTAGTTACTAGAGGAGCGTGAGGGGTACCATGTGTGCAGCTCCCAAGCTTCTCCATATTTCTGTCGGAAGCCTCGAAACCCTACCGGACCCTTAAGCCTCGGTCTGCTGCAATAACATTCTTCCTTCACCGACGGAAGGATTATCGATTACGTGCCAGCTATGAATATTTTCAAGAAAAAAGTCACATCAAAGGGTTAGATTTCTTCATCTATGTTTTGCTCGACGAACTTAGGTTAAGAATTTGTTGAATTTGTTTTTCCTCCCATTTTTTTTTGCTTTTTAGTTACTGGGAGATTGTGTATTTGTGTTGGTTTAACATTTCTTGGGAGATCCGTTCTAATTTGTTTTGATTCCGTTTCGTTGCTCTATCTGATAGTCTCGGTTGTGTTGTTTACTGCATTGCAGATGCTCTTAGGAACAGTAAAAGAGAAATGACTGTTGCTACTAGAGGTTGGTTCCTTCTTCTCAGATTTTTTTACTTTTAGGACTGATAAAATTGAATTTGCAGTTGCGATGAAGTATTAAAGATCGACAGATACAGATTAGTGTTGAGGGAATAAGAAAGAGATGAGCTGATCAAAGAAAAAATAACTTGAAGTATGCAGATTGTGGAAAATACAGTTTACTTTAAATGTCACTATCAAGAGAATTGATGGGGGTGGTTGAATTTATGAATCTTATCACATTTAGTTAGGATAGGTTTAATGATGATGATGGCTAGGTTATGAGTATTTTTCTTAACTGTTTTTGGTAGATTTAGTGCGATTTTCTGTAGATGTCATGTTCGAAACCCATTTTTTATTTTCTTAATAATGATCTAGGAGTTAAACTGTAGAGATTGCTGCATTTTACGTCAGCCTAAATTTTTTTTAGGAATAGTAGAGATTTGATGCCATCTTGTCTGTTTTCAGGCATTGAACGAGAGATTGCTTCTCTGCAGTTAGAGGTCTGTTATGTCAACAGTCCTACTTAAAGAGAACATTTTTTGCTATCGTTAAATCTTTCTTCTGTTTGAATTCTTTCAGGAGAAAAAGCTGGTTGCAGAGATAAAGCAGACTGCAAAGACTGGAAATGAGGCTAGTGTGCTGAATTTTATTTCTTGCTTATCCTTTTTTTTAAACTTACATGTAATCGTAAAATGTTGTTTAATGCCACAAATGATATGCTTTTATTTGATCAATTTCCTTGACGGGGAAGCGAAAAGTTTCAAGCTGAAAGTTTCTACCTTTATATGATTCAGAATATTTAGGAATATTCTAATGCTAAGTCTGAGTCTGTTATCCAGGCTGCTACTAAGATCTTGGCTCGTCAGCTTGTACGACTGAGGCAACAAATAACTAATTTGCAGGGGAGTAGAGCTCAAATAAGAGGAGTGGCTACACATACACAGGTACGGAATTTTCAATTTTCATTAAATTCTATCTTAATGTCATCTGGTACTGTTTTCAAAAACTGATTTTAGAATTTGATTAAACTAACCAGGCCATGCATGCAAGCACTTCTGTTTCTGCTGGGATGAAAGGTGCAAGCAAGGCAATGGCAGCCATGAACAAGGTATGTGTGGCATGGTAACAAATGTTCAGATTGTTTTTAAGGATGATCTATAAGATACAGGAGCATGGTTTCAGATTAACATTTTTAGCTTATAAAAAATTGCTATTTTGTTTCAGGAGATGGATCCTGCAAAACAGGCAAAAATAATGAAAGAATTTCAGAAACAATCAACTCAAATGGACATGACGGTAGAACTCGAAAAATGTTTTTTAGTGTCTTCTTTTACAGTTCTATCAGTCTTTCTTTTATTGTTTGGAATTCTTACAAAAGTTTTCATTTTCCTGGACTTGTTGGCATGTGAATTCCACTCTTTTATTTTGTGCCGTGATCATGCAACTCCTTTTGCACCAAGGCCTTTGAGTTGCCAAGCTAACTTATCGGCATTCATTTACTGGAATATAGGATTAAGATGCTTTTAGAAAGTGAAAAGCAAACTTATCGGTATTCATTTATTGACATCACAAAGAAGTAATTTGTGTTAATTATTATAAGAATTTTGAATAGAAATGTTTTCTTTCAATTGCTATTATTTTGAGTTCATTCCGATCACTATAATCATTGCGCCGGAAGAGCTGTTTACTGATTAACAGTGTATGTTGACACATATGTGAACCTTAAGTTTTAAGTGCCATTGTCCTCTGAAATCCATCCAGCTGTGGTTTTGAGCTGCATATTCATTATTAAATCAATTTTTATGTTGTTTATTTCCCCAAAATTTGATCTTTTCTTTATTATGATTCTTTTATTCTGTATTCTACAAATGCTCATAAGATTTAGCATTCCAAGAAGTTTTTATATTTCTTTCTCTGAACTCATTTCAGCGTGTGGTGGAGGTCTTCCTAATCTGCATTAAACGATTGTTCCCAACTTTTACCTTTAAAAATCTTATTTTTACTATATTTTGGTTCATTTTATCTATAATATGATCTGAGCAAGACCAGTTACTCTATTGTTGTTTTTCTTCGACCATAAGGAAATTAGGGAATTCATGGTCTCTGTGTCCAATTTTTAATTGACCTTGTCCTTTGAATCCCATCCATTCACGATGAAAATCTGAATTTAACAAATGTTTGTGGAATTTATTCCTTCAAAACCATCTTCCCATTCTTTGTTCTGAATCTTCTGATTCTATTCATCAAACCTTTCCTCTTTCTTTGTAATTTTGCCAGAGCAACGTCACTAACTCCATTTGCATGTTTTGTGGTTCTTGGTCTTATTTCACTTCATTTACCATAAACAATCAGTAATTAAAAATAATTAAGTTTTACTCTTATCTGGCTCTATTAGAAATTTTCACTATTTGTGTGCGGCCCTATCCCAATCATCAGTTCAACTATTCTTTTGTGTGATTCTGCAAAATCATGCTAAACTTTGCTCTTATTATTTGGATCCATTAGAAGTTTGCTATTGCTCTGCACTGCATCCCACACTTCAATTCGATGACCCGTTCATGCGATTTTACAAAATCTTGCCTACCTTAAAGCTAGACCATTTTTATTGTGCTCACTTCTGAGTTCTGAAGTTCTTTCTCATTGCTTATTAATTTGGTTGGAATCTTCATTTCCAGAGAACCCTCTAAAATCTGAAATATGCAACCATCAAACAAAAGTATAACTTGGTATGTGAATGCTGATACAGTCACCTTCTCTTAATCTCACTAATTTCCTATTGTCCATGCATGGTTTTGTTTTGTAGTTTTCCTATTTACGCACATTCACACACACTCGCTCCATCATGCAGAAACAAATAAAAACGAATAAATTTTTTTGATATTGTACTATATATATTTTATGAGAACAAATGTTAACTGCCTCTCAAAAATAAAATAACTTTTCATCTCCGTTCGATAGTTGCTGTAGAGCCATTTAATTCTTCTCAATCTTTTGTTTAATTAAAGTGATTTTATTTTTTTTTTCAAAAAGTAATTTGTTTTCTATTTTTCACTATATATTACTCCAATAAATTATTATTTTTTTATTTTTTTTTAGTATGATTGAAAGAATAAGTATTTTTTGCAGTACATCTTTCTCCCACTATCTTTTTCTGAACTCCTAAAATTTACTATGTAAGGATTCTCTTTAAGTTGGCCTTAGACCTTATTAATTCCTAAACTTCATTCATGTGGTTCGGTCTGTCCCTTGATACCACTCGCAACTAAAGAGAAAGCAATTCCCACAACTGTGGTGTGAGTATATGAATATTTGTTTTCTAAATTTAATTAATGTTGTGTCAAGGGTGAAATCCACATCAACATCTATCATGTTTCCCTAAAGCTTCATATCTGTTGTTTAATGCAATTTATCGATATTAGAGCCATATAATATTTAATTTTTTGTTCTAAACTTTTGATTTATCTGAATCAAGCGAATCTACTCTGTTTTCAGCTTGAGATGATGTCAGAGGCGATTGATGAAACATTGGATAAAGATGAAGCAGAAGAGGAAACAGAGGAGCTAACCAACCAGGTAATCTTCAGACATTTTTGCAGGATAAAGGATTTGCTATTTTATACGACAATTGAAAACAGTATTTATTTGCTTTAGAATGTTTTTTTTTTAATTTCTAATTTTGGTATTGTTTTAATATTGATTTATGATGTGTTTAGGTCCTGGATGAGATTGGTGTGGACATTGCATCACAGGTACAAATGTTGTTTTACAGTAATCTTTTTTGGGGGGGTGTTCTGCAATAGTTTGTTTCTGTTTCTCTTCAACAAATTGAGAGTAAACTGAATATGTTTCATTTGGCTTTCAACCTTTTTGCAGTTATCATCAGCTCCTAAAGGCCGAATTGCAGTGAATAGCAAGAAGGTCGATAATGCTGCAAGGTAATAATTGCCTCTCCCCTTGTTTCTTTTATTTTGAAAAACTTTGGGAAATAGTGATAAATTTACATGGGGAGTTCCCAAATATTTTTCTGACGTTTTTCAATTATACAAATATGGGGAGCTTACATACCTACCACCCAATTCCTATGCTTTTTACATCACCACCCAAATCTTTCATATCACCAAAAAAAAAAAAAAAAAAAAAAAAAAAAAAGGAATTAAAAAGTCCCAATTATTGTGCATTGGTATATATGTAAAACGTGAAGTTTAGATGTTGGATATGTAAATACACAAGAATTGAGTGGTATATATGTAAATCTTCTTATAAATGTTTGTACCATGATGATGCAGATACATGTATGTTACTTTATGAATGGGAAGTTATTCCATTTAGTTCTGTGATAATAGAGAAATTTCAATTTATTTATTTGAGAAGTAAATATTTACTCTAATAAATAGGTATTTATACAGTAAAATGCCAAAATAGTCTTTTGATTATTTAATTGGGGCTGTTTTAGTCTCAGTGTTTTTAGAAGTGCAAAAATAGGCCTCATATTTTTTAAATTGGGCCGAAATAATCCCTATGAAGGATTATTAGAACTCAATTTTAAAATAGCCAGAAACTATTTAGCCTGTAACATTTTGCTTTCTCTGCCATTTTTACTGAAGACGGAGCATTGTGCGTTGCAGAACTGTAGCTCCGGAAACTGATGAGCTTGATGACTTGGAGAAGAGGTTGGCATCCTTGCGGCGAGCCTAGACTAAAGTATGGCCATTATATGCTACTGTTTCTGCTGTATGAAGTAGTTTCTTTGTATTCTTTGGATATTTTTTTTGTTCTCATAAATAGATGCACGTCTCTTAGTAGAAAGCCTTAGATTTATGATATACATTTGGTCAATCATTGGTGAATTGAGAGATTTTGTCTAGGGGATTTTATACATATGAATTTATGTATTTATATATGTCTAGTTTTTAATTTATTTATTTACATAACAGTAAATGTTTAAATGAGATCAAAATATATGCGTGATAATAGGTATTTATCAAGTTTAGTTTTTATTATATTTTTTATGATAATCATTTAGATATTTGATTGTTATTTAAATAAATTAAAAATTTTAAATGGTGGATATGTGAATGTATGAGAATTCAGTGGCGTGTAGAGGCCTATTTTATTTACCTATGCACTAACCATGCTAAGGTTTGCATCATTTATTAAATTTAATTTCAAAAAATACTATTTCAACTTTTGATTTTTAAAAGCTTCATATGTAATTTTTAAATTTTCATTTAAATTGAAAAATCAAAATTTACATTATATAAAATATTTGATAGAAACTAATGAAAAATTCATGAATTTAAATTTAATGTTATACATTTAACATATATAATTCATAATATTCATTCATAAATAAATAACCGAGCAATTTGAAAATCTGAAAATCTAGACAAATGTACACAACATAGCAACATAAAATTAATTAAGAAGTTTAGGCGCAGAACCTTCCAGCTACATCACCTTTTCTTCAATCAAAATTTATGCAGCCATACATCTTCCCAATTCTCATTATATGCAGCACCCTTTTGCTCTCAATTCCCTTCCAAAGATAAATATATAATAAAAACTTTAAAAAAAAAATCAAACAAAATCTCCCTTCGCTTAAAAACAACCAAGCTGCTTTCATTAAAAGCTCATTCATAAAAAAATAAAATAAACCATGACACAGCTCATCTCTTTCACACAGAATATGAAAAAAGAGAGAAAATGCCCCATTCAGACAAATTCTTCAAGCCATGACAAACAAATTTTATAACTTACCAGAAAAGTTGCGCCTGCGCCTGCGCCGGCACCGCCACCGCCACTGCATCAGTCCGATTTCATGTCATCTCTCATCTTGGTTAATTTCATCATCAATATTTGGCGACTGGTCATATGCTATGAGGCTCGTATGCTTGCTCCCTTCTGTCATTGCAGCTTTAACAGCCTACAGATAACAGTATAGATAAAACATAGCAGTGTTTAGAAGAATATGATGAGTTCCAAAGTTATATGCAATATATTCAAATGCTTATGGAATATAAAGGCACAGAAGTTGTAGCCATACAAGCTATCCATAACTGGTTAATGCACCAATTCTCATATATTTATAGAGAAAAGGGTCAAAAAGGTGCATTGACTCTCTTTCCTGAGTCCTTCTAGTCCCAAAGTCTATAAAACTGTCTCCCCATACTCTTTTAAATTTCAGAGCAAATCTTAAGTCCTATTATAATGCAACCATTTATAATTTTTCATAAATTAAATATTCGTAAAGAATGATTCAAAAACATCTTTAAGTGACCTCTTAACCCTTATCGCAAAAAAGGTTAGGAAGTCCTTCAATAAACTTCTGTTTCCAATATGGATGACCCGCATCACCAAGTTGCGTTACTTGCTTATAAATACAACTTTATCCCATCAAAAATGGGTTAAAGTTGGACATCTTTTGTAATAATGATTTAGTTTTCTCACCATTAACTTTGTTTCTTTTCGTTTCTTTGCTGGGTATCGTATAATCACTTTTACAATAACACAGAGCAGAAAGTGATACTGGCATCAGCAAATAACGTAACAAAAAAAGAGATTGGACAAATTCCTACTAATTACTAATGGGAAATGGATTTCGGAAGATTAAAATTTCCACAGCTTGCGGTAATTAATATTTTCATAGTTTGCGGGCATACCTTCTCAATATCACTGAATATGAGGGGGTTTTCTCTGAGAAATTGCAGAGCTTTGTCCCTGCCTTGCCCAAGTCTAGTAAAATTGAAAGAAATAAAAGGATTTTAGAAATTACAAGAAGAAAACACTGAAATATGTTATTTTCCGTAATTTTGTTATTTTCAAATGTTTCCCCTTAATAGATCAATCAGCACATTTACATAAAAGAGATTGGCAATGCATGAGAAGATATAAATAGTCAAGAGTTTCATATAGATTCTTACAATGCATGTAAGAGTAACAATTTCTCATGAACTGCATAATCAAAGTGAGATTTTTAATGGGTTTATGAATCTTATCTTTGTCCTCCAATAAGGCTAAATGATTTTTTTTAAAAGAGAAATATGATAAAAATGATATCCTAACAATTTATTGAGTAAAAGGTCAATTTAGTCTCCAGAGTAGAGTCCAGGCAATAGTTAAATAGGAATAAAAATGGTCCCCAGACATGGCTATTATAGTCCTCATTAAAAATATCCAGGGACTACTTTTAGGGATGTAAATTAAAAAAAAAGCTCATTGACCTCAAGAAGCTTATGCTCAGCTCATTAAGTACCCTCATGTTTGAATCATTCGTTAAGTTGCTCATGTTCGAATCATTCGCTAAGCGAGCCAAATATCATAAATTTTTTAAGCTCGTATTATGAACAAGCCAACAAGAACAACGCTTTAATAACTGTGTTAGATCTGTTTTAACTCAAAATATAAAAATTATATCGATTATTTATATAGCAATAAATTATATATACTTATATCTATTGACCGTTTGATTTAAGAAAAAAAGAGGAAATAAAGAAATAACAGTATAATTTAATTAATTATTTACTTACCTCTTTCCCACCTATTGAAGCCCACGCGAACGTGTATTCACCACTCCCACTTCTACTCGGTTACAAGCAAACAAACCAAGGGGCATTGGCTCATTAGCACGGTTTCCTTCCTTGAGGGTTCAAAGCTTTCATGTTTTCCTTTTGTGGCAATAAGCCGTCTCTATCGCTCGTTCCCGATTCCTTTCTACTGTAGACCTCCGTCTGCTTCGTTCATTTTCAGTTTCAAAATCCATGCAAAGTAAAGGTAACTATTCTTACTCGTATTTTCTTTTCGTTTTCTTCACTGTGCGCATCACCACTGTTCCCCTTCCCCGCGCCTGGAACCTACGTGATGTTGTCGCAATTAGGCGTACAGGGGCCCGAAACTTCCAATTTTCCTGCTCATTCCCGATTCAAACCGCAAAGCGTCTACACGAACCTTTCTTCTTCTTCGATGTTGTGATCTTCCCTGTCGCACCTTCTTCTTCTCGCAAAGCCCAGTTGATTTCCCTCTGCCCGAAGCCCTCGCTGACGATGACGGCGCACGCGATCCCTGTGCTGTGATCCGTCGCGACCTTCTAGCGCCGAACCTTGCGATCACTTTTCCACCCTAGTATCGCACCACTCGAGCTCCTCTACCTGCTGCGTCTCCCTGCCGCTATTCCCTCACCGAAGTAGAGCACGGTTCTCCCTTATCCTCCATTCGACCGCAAAGTACCCGCGGGAAAATTATCAACTCTGTTTGGAGAGTTCTTTTAAAAGCAGAGCTTCTGCAACAATTTGGGGTAATTGGGGAAATTGTTGAGAAATCCTCCATTGGAAAGCAAAGTATCTGATAGGTGGGGGAAAATTGTTAACTAGCAAGTTCCACGCACCTGTTTTAATATATTTATGAGTTAAATGTAGGTTACAGGAAGATTACAATGATATAACGCGGATATAACCCTCAATATCTTTCATGTAACTTACCTAACGCGAGCATAAGTACGTAAATATTAGGCTTTATTCAGGTACAATTTTGGTGCTGTGGGTAATTTTTTTTTAGAAAATCTCTATTTGAGAGAAAAGTACACATTAGGTGGTAAAAAACTCAAACTCGTCTGGAGAGTTATTTTTAAAATCAAGGGGTCTTTGTTTACAAATTAACCTTTCCTGCAGGTAAATTGAAGACTCTCGTCATATCTTTTGAGATCACGCGTTAAATACGTTTTAGCCTGTTGTTGCGTCTTTTGAGACTGCGAGATGAAAATTATAATTTTGCCTTCAATCGCAGCGTCGTATAATACTGACCAGCAATTCTTCTCAAATAGCTGGGAAGATCAACATTCTCCCGTGCTCCCTAACAGGGGTTGAAGCTGGAAGGTTGCCAGATTTTCGGGTGATTTGAACTTGTAATCGCTTTAGAGTATTTGGAATTTGGCCTTTAAAATTATATATATATATATATATATATATATATAACATTTTAATTTTTAAAATCATTAGGAAATTTTAGGCTCTTCGGGTTTTAAACTATCGGGAATCCAGACTTTTAAATATCTAGACTCTTTAGACTTAAAAGTAATCAAATTCAAAAGTTCTAAAATTTTTAGGCTCTTAGGGCTTTTAAAGATAAAAATCAATTTTTTGGGTTTTTCAAACTTAAATTTCTAAGGCTTAAAATAAAAGTCAACGAGAACTTTTAAATTTAAGTCTCAATGGTTAAATTAGCCTAGAGTTAAGCCTTCAAAATTAAAAGCAAACAAAAGACTAAACTCTTAAGTTTGAATCATTTAAATTAACCCAAATAGTAAGTATTGGTGCTTTCAAAGATAACCAAATACACTTGGGGGGCTTAGCTTAATTTGAAGTTGAAGTACCAAAATTCATAAGGCTAAGCTTAAACTGAAATTTAAATACCCCAAATCGAGAAGCTAAGTTTGATTTAAAAAAAATCTGCCACCAGATTAACAATATATCTACTAGCAAAGAGAAGACTGTTCTTCTTAAAAGCCTACAATCATAATAATTTTGAAATACTTTAAGCTCCAAATGACTTCAAATTTTATAAAAATCTCATGCTTATTGCCCAAGTTTAATGTGATATCGTGAAATGTGAGACCATCCTTACGACTTAGAAGAGTTCCACTTGAGATTTTTTGTAAAGTCCATATTAAGTTCATAACTTAAAATTCATGCAAGTCTTTAACGCTTATAAAAAAATATTCAAATATGTGAAATTGAAATACCGGCATGTGCTCCGACTACAATATCAAATGTTTAAATACGAAGTTTGAGAATGTTGCGCGGGCTAATTGGGCTGCCTTGCCTATAAAGCAGGGTTGTAAGTCACAACTAGCTAATCCGTCCTCCTCGCAAGGACTGCGTTGACGAGTCTAGTAAATTTGATAAATGTTCAAATCCTAAAGATAATAGTTTACAAATCCAAATTACCTAGTCTGATCCTCCTTATAAAAATAGGAGTCGACAACACTTATATTTTAAGAAGTTTAAATTAACTCTCCGATTATGACCATGTTGATCGAAGAGTCTAGCCGAAGGGGTCAATCTCTAAAATCAAGCTTTTTCAAAAATAATCAACTAATATGAAAGTACAATTTAATCATTTAAGAACTAAAAAAAATCCATCCACTCTTCGCAAACAGTTTGTTGAAGGTGACAAATTTCTGATTAATTTCAGCTCACAAAGAGCAAATCCCATATCAAATGTATCAATATATTAACAATTAAAGTAATTACATGCCAGCAAAGGCGTGACCAGAGTCCTCTGTCCACGAGATTCAGCCGCCAAATGACACCACAAAATATCGGTTACGACCAGAGCCCTCTGACCGGGTGATTGCAGCCAAATGACACCATCATATTACGATCATGGTCGCAGCCCGTATGTTTCCCAACGACCTTTTACCCCTTTAAAACCTTTCGTTAGCTAATTTCAATTTAAATTTGTCCTCTTAGACAAACATTCACCCCATTTCTACAAGGATATCTTAGACGACACAACCTATGACTACTGATAAGAATCCTTCTGTCAAATTGGGTCGACCACCTTCTCTGATTAAGTATATCAAAGACTATGGCGGCCCAGAATGACGGAATCATGAAATATTGATTGGGTTTGGTCTTCATTTCCTCATTATTCACTTTAAGCTTCAATTGGTAATTCTACAATTTAAATTATAAGTCTGTTGTATTATATGTTGAATACTCAATTCTTAATGACTAACCATAATCGAAAGTGTTCTCCTATTATTCGGAGGGGTGATTAATCATAGGGGCTTACACGTATGGGAAAACTAAATAAAAAAATTCTCGCTAAATGAGGGCAAAATCTCCGAGTAGTGTCTTATCTACAATCCAATCTGTCTTCTGAAAATTCCACTCTTCAAAGCCTCTCAAAACATAAAAAAAAATAAATGCAAATGCAGTCTCATGAAGAGTAGTTATTGAATTTTCGGAGCCCACAATATCTAAATTAAAATCATCATAGCTCGTGTGATCATATGATTCTGTATTTTTATTGCATAGAAACGGTGCAGATTCAAATTTAATATCCTACATTTATTTTTCTAATTAATTTAAACGAGTTAATTGAGCCGAACTCTAGCTGAAAACAAAAAACAAACATTTTTTTGAGCTCAACATGAAGAAACGGTTCACAAGCCATTTCAAACACAAGCCAATTTGAAGGAAAAAAAAATATAAACGAGTCGACCACAAATACATGTTCAGCTCGCTCAAGCTCAGCTTGTTTACACCCCTAATTGTTTTAGTCCTTATTTAAATATCGTGGGGAGTATATTAGCCTTCTATATAGTATATTGCCCATTTTGACCACTTGCAAATAGGCAAAAGACTATTTTAGCTCTTTTCCCAAATGTTTAACATCATAAACCTTCATATTTACATGTATATCACTCAAATGTTTAACATCATATTGAAATAATCACCATCACTATATTTTAAAAGTGAAATATACTTTGTCATGCATAGATTTATGACAGCACGGTATTATTGTAAATGTCAAACTCAGCGTGTTAGATATGTAAATACAAAGGAATTGCGGGGTATGTGTGTAAATTATCCTAAAAAAATGATAAAAAGCATGTGAAGATAGCATTTCAAAATGAAATTTGAGACGGCCACTGAGAAATCTGTCAAGAAAATTAATTAATTGTAGATCTGTACCAAAAGTAAAAAAATTGTAACCTGTGATCTCCAAAGCTGTACCATGAACCCTTCTTCGCTACAACGTCCATTGTTTCAGCACAATCTAAAACACAACCCTGAAGTTGATGTCATCAGTAGAATTATTCATTACATCAATAACTTGAATTTGGGCCTCAAATTCCACAATACCATTTTGCCGACTCCCTCCCCAAAAATGATCTCAAATTCTGCTTGCTTGTATGGCCTAGACACCTGAATAAAAGATAAAAACAACCTAATTCTTATGTATTTACACATCTAACACCTAAAGTTTGATATTTAAGCTTGCAACACTTTGATGTCATAAACCTATATATGATAACGTGTATTTTACTTTTAAAAAGTCAGCAACGGTGGTATGTTTGTGATTAGTTATAAATTTTACTGTTATTTGTTATATGTATGTAAACGCCCCTAAATGAAAATAATAATAATGAATTGCAAACAAATCATGCATTAATTCACTGTAACACGCATAATAACAACTCTAATGCAAGCTTTCATTAAAAATTAAACTTCAAAGAGCCATAATCATAACATATGAACTTTTTTAGTTGCAATAAACACTTGCTTAATTTGAATCATGATGAAGTTTTGGAGGATTTACGCACATATCATAGAATTCTAACACCTGCATCTTTATTTTAACTTGTACAACATTCTAATATCTAAATCACATGAAAATATATATATTCGACAATATATTTCAATTAAGATAAGTTAGTTTTAGAGGTATTTTTTATATGATTTAAAGATTAGAACATTATATGAATAAATATACAAATTTAGGCGTTAGATATGTAAATATATAAAAATTCTGTGGTACGGAAGTAAAATCTCCCTAGAAGTTTTTTCACCAAAACAAGTTCAAAATTTACACCTCATTGCATAGAAACATTAAAAAGCATGAATTTACTTGATCTTTTTTAAATGATTTAGCAATATTGAAAATGAATTGAATGCTTTGGATGGAGATTCGGCATGAACATTCGCTATAATACAGAAAGAGAACAATGTTACTCACTTTGCTTTTCTGAACTCTTACACGAACTTTTACTCCAATGTCTTCATCACCCTTTATAAAAAGAGCAAAATGAATTGAGTAGAAAACTACTGAAGTAAAGATGGTAGAAGTAAAAGAAAGTTTCTTCAAACTCACAGATTTAATCTTCCCGATAGGACGGATCTCAAGGCGAAGCGAAGCAAAAAATTTCAAAGCAATACCACCACTGGTAACTTCTGGATTTCCATAGAAAACCCCAATCTTGTCAAATCCAATAAAAAAGAGTGTTACAAGTGTGGAGATTCACCAGAAAAGAGATGGGGCTAAAGTTATGGGGGGTAATTAAACCTTATATCTTATCTGATTCAAAAAAATGAGGGTGCAGCCAGCTTTTGAAGCATTGCCTGACATTTTGCGCAATGCTTGACTCATCAAGCGAGCCTGTAGACCTATTTGTTGCATTCCGATCTCTCCCTAAAGCAAATAATGCATCGAAGTACATTGATCAATGAAGAGTGATTAATGATCTATGGTATAAAAGAGAGTTAAGGTGGAGGGTTAAGAGGTTAGAAATAAACTCACTTCGATTTCGGCCCTGGGGGTTAGTGCTGAAACAGAATCAACGCATATGAGATCTATTGCTCCAGATCTGCACATACGATCGGCAACTGAGATAAAAGTGTTAATTAAACATATTAGGATTTGTCTTATCAACCTTAATCACATAGAATTAATGTTCCAGATTTTACATTTCAAAAAAAGTTATAGCAAGAACAGAAAACTTAACTCTACTGTTTTGTATTCACCAAAGAAATAATAAGATGCATCAGCAAGTTGGGGGAATGGTCGGTGGAGGGTGAGAACGGCTATGGACAGAAAAGAGGAGCTGTGGAAGAAGTGCAGGGCTGCAGTTGTAGGGGCAGCAAGGCAGTAGCTGCGGCAAGGTGGCCGCAAATGCAGGGGGCAGCAAGGAGGGAGGCTGAGGCAAGGTTGGGAAGGTGCAGTTGCCGGGGTACAGCAGGGAAGGCACTGCAACAGGTTTGGTGGATTTCGATTGCAAAGAGACAACAAGGAGTGTCCAGGGGATCCTGCAGCAAGAGATGGTGCAAAGACAGCGATGTGGGGGTCCAATTCTATAGTAGATAGATATAAAAAAGTAATAACTATGATTTTCCTTTGATAAATTCACACGCGGCTAATTAATAGTTGCAGTAATATACAGATATGACGGTCCAATTCTCATATTTTTTGGAATTTTGTGTTGTCATACATTCAACGCAGCATTTAAAAATATGTTCCCAAAAATATAGAAGGTATGCTAATCGATGAGATTGTCAATATTAAAAGAGTTTGTAAAGCTAAAAATGTTGACTATTGTAGAGACCAGCTTAAATGAAGTATAATCACGCTTAAGAAATTTAAAATAATAAAATAAAACTATAAGCAATGATAATTAGTGACAAGTGGGCGATACATCATGATGATAATATAAACAAGACAAAATTTGTGAATAAAATTTTTTTGGATGATGTATGATGGGATACAAAGAATGAAATTATTGCTTTTACATAGCCTATATATGACACAATGAAAGAGACTGATATAGATAAGCATTGTCTCCACGTTGTCTATAATATGTGAGATTTTATGATAGAAAAAGTAAAATATATTATACATCAATACAAGAGAGAGAGAGAGACCATGAAGAATAATTTTTTTATAAAATATTATATGATATTTTAGTAGATAGATGAAATAAAAGCAACACTTTATTATTTAGCTCACTCTTTCGAACCAAGTATGATTTAATTTGAAGCTTATTCTTTATTAATACTACCTTAGATTCGTTATGTCACTTATAAGTGTACTTTTTATTAGATATTACAATCATATTTGGGAAAGAAAAAAATATAAATCATGTTGCTGCACATAAGGATATCAAATGAGATAAACAAATGCATAAAGAGAATTTTTTCAAATGTTCAAGAAAAAAATGATTAATTTGAAATTTACTAATTTTTTTGTATTTAGTGGTGCTTTTGCTGATTACGACTCCATAACTTCTAGAGCTATATAGATGGAAGGGTGTGGTGGACAATTTATATAACAAGTTCCCCACGAACATAGAATTTAACTTTCAAATTCTTAGCTCAATCGTGTTCATCATCTTGCTCTGAAAGAAATTGAAGCATCTATTCATTTATTAATTCATTTAGCAGGTGCAAAATCATTCCTCAATGATGTGTAGATTTAGTATTTGTACATACTAATCTTCGTCATCTAGCTAAGAGGAGCCCAAAAGATTCTAAGGGGGAGAAAAAATTATGGGATCCTGGTGGAGATATATTAGTATAATAGATGATATTGAAATACTTGAAATTATTAATCTTACTCTTGATGTGCTAGGCTTAGAAATGATAATTTTCGTTGATGAGGTTTAAGGCATCATTGATGAGGGCAATGGAGCTAACATTAATTATGACCCCATCGTTGAATACATTAACTCCAATCAGTAATGAGAGAGTTATTATATTTTGCTTCATTTTATTATGGATGCATTGACATTATGTATTTTGGTGATTTTCTTTATATTTTATATGTACTTTTGAAATTTTCAAAAGCATTTTTTATCATTATAAAGTTTTTCTAATGATTGCATACTTTATTTTGTGATGTATTTAGTATAAAATATTAAAAATATACATTTATATTAATAATTTATCACAAATAAAAGATGAATTCATCTCATATTATGTCATACTTTTTGCATTTATGTCGCGCTGTCATATTGTGTCGTGCGGTGTTCATGCCCCTGTGTCGTATTATATCATTTTGCGTCATAGAAGAAATATTTTATTTTAGTTTAATTTTAAGTGCAAATGCATAGTTTATAATAGATATAAAAAAATAATAACTATGATTTTCCTTTGATAAATTCACACGCGACTAATTAATAGTTGCAGTAATATACAATACATGACGGTCCAATTCTCATATTTTTTTGACTCCTTGTGTTGTCATATATTCAACACAACATTTAAAAATGTGTTCCAAAATATATAGAAGGCATGCAAATCGATGAGATTGTCAATATTAAATGAGTTTGTAAAGCTAAAACTGTTGGCTATTGTAGAAACCCGCTTAAATGAAGTATAATCGTGCTTAAGAAATTTAAACTAATAAAACAAAACTATAAGCAATGATAATTAGTGACAATTGGAGCATATATCATGACGATAATATAAACAAGACAAAATTTGTGAATAAAAATTTTTTGGATGATGTATGATGGTATAAAATGAACAAAATTATTGCTTTTCATAGCCTATAAATGACACAATGAAAGTGACTGATATAGATAAGCATTGTCTCCATGTTGTCTATAACATGTGAGATTTTATGATAGAAAAAGTAAAATATATTATACATCAATACAAGAGAGAGAGAGACCATGAAGAATAAATTTTTTACAAAGTCATATATGATTTTAAGTAGATAGATGAAATAAAAGCAACACTTTATTATGCTCACTCTTTCGAACCAAGTATGATTTAATTTGAAGTTTATTCTTTATTAATACTACCTTAGATTCGTTATGTCACTTATAAGTGTACTTTTTATTAGATATTACAATCATATTTGGGAAAGAAAAAAATATAAATCATGTTGCTGCACATAAGGATATCAAATGAGATAAACAAATGCATAAAGAGAATTTTTTCAAATGTTCAAGAAAAAAATGATTAATTTGAAACTTGCTATTTTATTTTGGATTTAGTGGTGCTTTTGTTGATTACAACTCCTTAACTTCTAGAGCTATATGGATGGAAGGGTGTAGTGGACAATTTATATAGCAAGGTCCCCGCGAATATAGAATTTAACTTTCAAATTCTTAGCTCAATCGTGTTCATCTTCTTGCTGTGAAAGAAATTGAAGCATTTATTAATTTATTAATTTATTTAGCAGGTACAAAATCATTCCTCAATGATGTGAAGATTTAGTATTTGTACATACTAATCTTTGTCATCTAGCTAAGAGGAGCCCAGAAGATTCTAAGGCAGAGAAAAAATTATGGGATGCTGGTGGAGAGTATAATAGATGATATTGAAATACTTAAAAGTATTATTCTTACTCTTGACGAGCTAGGCTTAGAAATGATATTTTTCGTTGATGAAGTTTAAGGCATCATTGACGAGGGCAATGGAGCTAACATTAATGATGACCCCACCGTTGAATACATTAACTCCAATCAGTAATGAGAGTGTTATTATATTTTGCTTCATTTTATTATAGATGCATTGACATTATGTATTTTGGTGATTTTCTTTATATTTTATATGTACTTTTGAAATTGTCAAAAGCATTTCTTTATCATTATAAAGTTTTTCGAATAATTGCATACTTTATTTTGTGATGTCTTTAGTAGAAAATATTAAAAATATACATTTATATTAATAATTTATTACAAATAAAAAATGAATTCATCTCATATTATGTCATACTTTTTGCATTTATGTGGCGCCGTCATATTGTGTTGTGCGGTGTTCGTGCCCCGTGTCTGTGTCGTATTATATCATTTTGCGTCATAGAAGAAAATATTTTATTTTAGTTTAATTTTAAGTGCAAATGCATAGTTTATAATAGATATAAAAAAGTAATAACTATGATTTTCCTTTGATAAATTCACAGGCGGCTAATTAATAGTTGCAGTAATATACATAAATAATGGTCCAACCTCTGTCTAGGCATCATCTAGATAGTTCGTAAGAAAACATTGTTGGAACAATGGCGAATGGCGTATCAATATACAATTCAAATCAAGAATGAGAAATACTTACTTTCTAATGCCATTTCTCCATTATCTGGCTGGCAGACAATCAAATTCTCTATATTTACTCCCAATGCCCTCGAGTAAGCTGGGTCAAAAGCATGTTCTGCATCCACTAGCATAGCATTCCCTCCCAAGTTCTGCTTATTTATCATGCCAACAATAATGTAAGGATATTACCAAAGAGAACTATGCTAGCTACAAATAGTGCAACACCAAAAAAGCTAATAATATTGCTTTTGAAGCGAAATCATAAAAGATGCCTTTTGTTTGATAAAAATATTACAAACCTGCACTTCTGCAATTGCATGTAGAGCTAGAGTGGTTTTTCCGCTACTTTCTGGACCAAATATCTGTTAAAGGCAATCAGTCGCCATAATTTAGCTCAACATTAAGTTACTAGTTGAAAAATATTAATAAGCAATTTCTTTGGGTGTGATGGTGAAGATAAGAATACAAGATAATGTGAAGTTCATGACCACAAAGTACAAAATCCCACAAGTCACGGTGGACGAGTTCATGGTGGTGGGGTATATGTGGCTCCAATGTCACCAATTGGTATTATCCAAATTTTTTTTTTATATGTGGCTCCCGAGTGCTCGATAATATTATAACGCCATCTACACCTTTGTAGAAGAGCATCTCTTATACTAATATAAGTATTCATCATTGAGTTGGGCAGAAGATTATGTAAGGTATGTTTAATTGACATATTATTAATAACCATTTACAAATAGAAGTCGTTAAAGAGCTTTCTATTTTGAAGAAGACAAGTGGTGGTTGATTCCAACTACTCAATCCTAATTTTTATTTTCTGATTCAACGGTATGAACAGGTGTTTTATGTCCAAAAGTCTCTAGAATTTGCAGTGTTATCAAAAGTACTAAGCATATTCAAGGGGATATGATTACCAAACAGTTGACCTATAGAGGAGCCGATCCTCCCTGGACCGGCTGAAATAGAGGAGCCGATCCTCCCTGGACCGGCTGAAGATAGCATAATTGACCCATAGATGAGCAGACAGGACCGGGGCAAACAGAGAGAGCCACAAAAGAAAGAAAGGGAGGACGGGGGTCCAGTAGGGCCATAATCACTTGTGCAAAGAGATCAAATTAAGAGAGTTTGGAGGAAAAGTTTTTGAAATGCTGGGAAGGGATTCTATTAAAAGGAGAACCTAAGGTTTTGCATTTTTTTATGCATGTTTTTGTTATGTGTCGGCCTTTTTTTTTTTTTTTTTTTTTTTTTTTTTTTATTTTTTTAATTTTTTTTGCTGTACACCTCTTTTTTTTTTTGTGAAAATGATATTTTTTATTTTAGAAAATAATGAGACCGGATATACCTCATATGTCTAATAGTTTAAATAGTTGAGCATGATACCACAAGTGATATATCATCTCAAAAAGATAAGTATATCACTTGTTAGTAGGCTTAACTATCCAAACTTAAAAGTTTATGACTCTATTTTGGTCTGCGAATTTTATAGCCGACAAATTCCCCTATCTAATGCACAGATTAGACAAAATTTAGATTAGTTCGAGTTCTTAATTCCCTATAGAGGCAAACCCCTATAGTTAATTACATCTTAGACAACCGACGTCACCTAAGAAAACTATCGATTAAGATCAAGTTTTCGTCTTCAAGTATTCAATGTTTAGACATTCATGATTGTTTATAGGAAAAGTCAAATGGGATAGGTTCAACTAGGAGCAGTTATTTCTGGAATCCAAATGAGCGAAAAGTAGGAGATGTCGAAGATACTGAATAAGATTCAGTGACATCTCAAACTAACCTATGATTTGAATTTACATCTTTGAAAGGGAAATTGTGTGATGTTTCGGTCCTGCAAGTTATTTAAGACTTATATCTACATTTCAGACTTATATCTACATTTCATATGTAAATGACCAGAGAAAATAAGAGGAATTATGTCGTACCGAACGACGATCTCAGAATCCTAAGAAAGTTTAGGACTTATATCGTACGATATAAAATCGTAGAAAGTCCTAAGAGATAGTGTATGGATTTACGTCGTACTAGACGAACGACCTCAACGCCCTATAGATATGTTATTTAACTCTACGGAAGTTCAATTGGAGCTCCTCCTTCCGTCTTCTGTTGTTGTCTCGACCGTTGTCCGGAGAAGAATCGTCACCCACCCGCGTCGTCGTCTCGTTCCGAGAAAAGAGATAAAGAAAAGAAAAAATCATGTCTCAAACGGTCTATCCTAGGGTGTCGTACAAACATGCTAGGAAAACAATATTTAAAAGTATGAATACAGATGAATGTCTATAGTACGATGCAGTACAGGAAAGGAACAACTGTGTAGTAAAGTACTGTAACAAGAAAAGACTGAAGGAAAACTATGAAAGTAAAGTAAGTACAAAGAAAAGAAATACTATGCAGTAAGGAAAAGAATATACAGTAAAGAAACAAAACTGAAACAACTAAGTGTACCTGATTAATTTTGGTGATGCTACAAAATATATTACAATTGCATGATATAAAAAAATTAGATAAATATTTACATATTTTTTTAAAAAAGATTTAAGGATAAGCATATGAAAATTTAAAGTGGGATATTAGCTTTTAGTTTGAGGTTAGGCTAAAATTAGATTTTTCTTTTATCTCGATCCCACAGGCAACTGATATATCGAAGTCAACCTATCAATATCAACTAGAGGTCACCAACGAATCACCCCTATAATTAGGCAATCCTAGACCCTTGTTGCTTAATGGATCGGTAAACCCAAATAGTATCTGAACTTATCTTGTTAAAGGTATAATGTACTTATGTGAGATAATATCTGAACCTATCAAGGTGTAGTGCACCTATGTGTGATATTAGGATGAGTGATGTGTAGTAGTATCTGGACTTATCGGGGTGATCGGGGTGTGGTGTGTAGTATCTAGACTTTAAAAAAAAATGTAATATCTATTCTTGTGGTGTCTGATTTGTGGAGTGTCTAGTGTGTAATATGTGATGTGTTACAAATGTAACATCTGTCGTATGGAGTGTAATGTGTAGTGTCTATTGTGTGTCGTGGTACTTATCATTTTGTGAAGGTAGTATCTATTCTTGTGCAAGTGTAGTATTTGTGTAAGACCTGCAGTATTTGTTCTTTTACAAGTGTAGTATCTGTCCAAAAATCTGTAGTATATGTTCTCTTACAAGTGTAGTATCTGTGCAAAAATATGTAGTATCTGTTCTTTCCTAACTACCAATTCTCACGCATTTTGAAAAGGGTTAGATCTGTCGACGACTTAAGGGTGAAAGGGCATCGCACTAATTGCGTATTGATTTTATATTTTCAGCTATAGAAGAGCTGATCAACGGTTCTTTGCATCATTGTCTGTTACTCCGCACCTTGAACTCATATCCCACTTTAATGCTTCATATGCTCCCTTTTTTTTAATGACAATTTATTATCCAAACGAAATCAAAACGTATAAAGTCCCAACATAAACTTTCACAATCTCCAAGTTCAAATGAAATGAATATAAAACTTGCTATAACACCCTTCTGGTAGCTAAAAGAACTAATTGCAACTATCCCAACAAGATATTAAAGGGAAGTTACACTGTAGTCAATCTGACTCAAAGAGTTGAACATTTCAATTTTCTTAGAATATCAAACAAATGTACATGCCATCCAAATCTTTCTCGCAATAGGAAAACTATCAAGCCAAAATAAAAAGACCCAAATATATATTCTCAAATAAGGCAGCAAAAAAGGGAACCACCATTTGTATATCTCAAACAAAGGAGCGGCTATGGGGGCTAACCCGAGTCCACTTACAATATAAAGAAACTACAAAAGAGGGCACACGGCGAGGGACAACAGAGGGAGCAAACAAAGCCCAAATTCAGTAGAGAAGCAAGACAGCATAACAAGTAAACCTAAACCCAATTTAATAAAAAAAAAGAAAAAAAATAGTATTTCTGATCACAATTCAATCCAAAAGATTCAAAACTGGACCTCAAGAAATGGAGAAAACAAAGCAATACTTTTAACAACAATTCATCCCTAAAGAAACCAAACCCGAGCCCCAGCAGGGAGCAACGAAAATCTTTTCCATATAAATTTAATTTCAAAGAGTTAAAACTGAGCTCAGCAAGGAGCAAGAACCCAAACCAAATCCCAGCAGGGAGAAAGAACCAAACCTGAGCCCCAGCAGGAGGCAAAAACCAAAATCGAGCCCCAATCACAAGGCAAAACTGCAGCCTATCACAAGGCAAAACCGAGTTTAGTATAGGGGTTAAGCTAACCCACCAAAGGACCAACACCAAGCTCAATACAGAGGCCACATTAAACCACCAAAGGTCAAAACCGAGCCTCAATTACAAGGCAAGACTACAACCCCAAATCTGATATTAAAACCAAAAAAAAAAAAAATGATCTCAACATATATATTCGAAATATGAGCAACAAGAGGAGCAAAACTACAGTCTCAAATCTGGTATTAAAACCAAAAGAAATAATCTCCAATATGTATTCAAATAAAGCAACGAGAGGAGCAAAACTACAGCCCCAAATCTGGTACTGACACAAAAATATCCTCAACATATATATAGTCGAATAGAAGTAGCAAAGAAGACAAGAAACCAATCTCCGACCAAAGCAAGCCAAACCGAGCCCCAGCAAAGGGGCTAGCAATAGAATAATGTTCTGAATACAACCCAACTAAGAAAAAGGAACTGAACCAAGACAAATCCCATATAGAACTGAACTTAATCTCATACAAAACCAAACCAAATCTCAGACCAAAACTGAACCCAGCACAAGGGCCAAATTGAATCACCCGGAGAAATAAAATCGAGCTTCAATCACAAGGCAAAACCATCAAGAATTCCTGATGCAATATAAGCCAAACCGAGCCACCAAATGGATATCCATATTATTAAAACAATTCCAATATTGAAGTTCAAATAAGGAGAGCTACAGGAGACATAATTGGGTCTTCACATGAGGGCTAAATCAAATCCACAAATCTTCATTTTGAAAACAAAAGCAAATGCCCAACCAAGGAGCTCAACACAAAATTTCCCGTGAATCAAATAAATCCAAGAAACTCCATGTTAAAGTAATGCAACAAGACAATAGTAGTCAAAAGTACTCAAATATTTATTGAGATTTTCAATATATCTTTCCAGCAATCTTCTAAAAATCTACTGCATTACCTCCAATATAAGTAAAGGTGGCTATAATATAGATATTCATGAGAAAATTTATTTCTTCATCAAAGAGACAATCAAGCTAAAATATCATTTCCATTTGATCTACCAATCTCATAATCCAAAAGAGATTATCGCATGGACAACTAATCCAAAAATTAAACAGCATTCTAGAAGTAAA